ACAAAACATTTATAACATTTGGATAAAATGTTGCGGTGTTTTTTTCTTCTTAATTTAACAAATGAATCTTATTTATTTCTTTGAATGATTAGATTAAAACATCTGTATGTCTCACTGCACAAGTAATTAATAAAGGTATCATTGTGAGGATGAAATTTATGAATATGATAACTAAGCTTTAGAAATTAGTACGTGCATTAGACTATTTCAATATTCATTCTTATATACAAGCACTAAGATGCTTTCGGTAGAAAAAATGTTGTTCATTCTTTCTTCTGCATAGAATAATGTAGTTTGAATAAAAAGAAATATTCAAACAAAAATCCAGATTACTTGCTTGTGAAATTAGATTAAAACAATTTAAAGGTCAATTCTTTTAGCCTGATCTCTTGGATTCATTTAAATTTCTATTCAACACAACCTACAACTTCTGTATTTCACATTGATATTGAGTTTCCTACAGTGATATTGAGAGCATTCATAAGTAATAGCGCACTTTTTCAAGTCAAATTCATTTTTTCAATTTTGAGTGAAAAATTAATCCCTTTCGCTACTCAAATAACTAGATTTCACTTATCAAAGTCTTGAGTGGGTTCCAATATCCAAATCTACACCATGAATAGATCATAGAATCTTCATTACAGATAAATCAAAAAAACACTCTGAGACGAAACGAGCATGCATCCAATTCTAGAGAAAATCACATCCTCCAAAGGGTAACCCCATAATGACAAAAAAATTGTATATATGTTTTTTTAACGGCAGGGTTCAACAGTAAGGGAATCACTATCTAGTTTGAAGCGCGATCTAGGGTAAGCACGATATAAGGTTCAATAGTGAGATAATCCTGTGAAGACAAAGTTTGTAATGATGTTACGATTTATGTGGATATGTGTTTATTCTCTAGAGTGCAACCTAGGGTTACACCATTGGGTTCTGTCGTAGTTGGCGACGACTGCTTGTGCGAGAGGCTGGCGGTGACTACTTGTGCGGAGACAGAGTAAAAGGGAAAGGCGGTGCTGGTGGAGGGAGAGGAGAAGAAGGTGATGAAGGAAAAAAACTTTCAATTTCAAAATCGTGATGTGAAACATGACACATCATGGGTCAACTTAAACAAAATGTAATGTCATTGTTTTTGGAAGATTAAATATTACTGTTTTACTAATATTTAACTAAATATTACTGTTTTACTAACTAAATATTACTGTTCCACTAAGAAAAATAATTAAAATAAAACAAAATTTGGAAAAGAAACTAAACCTAAAACACTTGATAATTGAGTGACTAAAAGTATACTTAACTTTTAAATGAATTATTAGGTTAAAAGTAATAAAGTATATTCATAAAAATATATTATAAAAATAACTCGAAATTTAGTAAAAAGTAATGTATGTGCAAAGATATTTTAAATGTACTGGTAGAGAAATGTAAATCTTTTGTGGCTCAGATGGCACTTACAATTTCGAGAAAGAGAATACAGTTGTTAAAGAAAAGGAAATGTAATAAGGCAATTATTGGTGATTTGATCAATAATGCTGTGAAATATGATATTATCACATTTGAAATGGTTTTTTTTTTATTTGAAAACCATATTCTTTGACCCACAAAAAATACATTTTGAAAATCTTTAATTTTAATATTGGTTTTAACAGATAAAAAAAAAATACAATAGTCGATTTTACTTATTTATATCCTGTCTGATAATCTAAGTATTTATAAGCTTCATAAACAGACTTGAGTAGTTATTATCTGAAATTATACTTATACTATTCGAAGATAATTATGGTCAATTTTATTATTTAATGTTATTCAAGCCAAATTAATTCAAGTTCAATTATTATATACAAATAAAAATAAAAGAAAATCAACTTATGCCTCGTGACAAGTGGATAAGTATTATATAAATGCAAGTACAATGATTGCATAAGGATGAAACTCGACCGAGTAATTTTGATAGAATTTTTTAATAGCATCATTATTCACAAAAAAAAAAACTATGATTTTACTACTTTCGTTAATTTTTACTTTCTTTAGAAATTAATAGGTTAAGATTTTTTTTTTCAGAAATTGAATTCTAATTTAACTTTTCAAATTTTTTTGAACTAGAAATTATAAAAAAGTTTAGAAATTAAAAATGAAAAGTATAACATTAAAAATAATCAATATTTTATAAGGTTAGTCATATTTAAATTTTATTTTGTAATAGTTTAAATAAATTATTAAATATTATTAATATTAAATCATTAAATATAACTATCGAGATTTTGTATAAAAGATTGTTTGAAATTTAACATGATGATTAAAATCAATAGTTTAATTGTATACAAATATTTCAAAAAGGTAATGGTATAGAAATATAAAGAATCTGTAACTAGCATGGACGCATATAATATGGAAAAAATTAACTTTATTATAACTATTAAAAATTGTGAAACAAACATTGTGTTCAACCACTTGTATGAAAAAGAATATCAATTCGATAAGTTGATCATGTCTCATTTAACTCAAATCATAAATTTGACTATAATGACATCAGATATGACATGGTAATCGTGTGGAGCTAAACATAAATTTGGTTGTAGAAGTTTGGAAACATTTTGTTCTTAAATTATGAGCGTCTTTTTAATCGTTGAACGATTATTTTTGTGAATTATTTGGAATTGAGCGATGGTATGACACTTTTGAGCGTCATCTTGCTATGCAACTCTAGAGCAATTTTAGCTTTAAGACGTTGAGCGGCAAGAAGATATCACTAAGCACGACATTTTCAAAGAGAATAGTGTTGAGTGTTAAGACTATCGCTGAGCGCCACCTTTGTATGAGAAGTTTTATGCATAGCGTCACCTTTGAGCTAGTTTATATACCTATTTTGTTTCTTCTTTTTAGATGTTTGGTATTGATTTGTATAATCATTGATTTTAACTTATGAGTATGATATTTGTATGTATGTATATGAGGATCATTGTTATGATTATGTGTGGTATGATTGTACAAAATTTCAAGGAGAAATTTTGTGTAATGGTGATGTTTGGTGTATGCTTTGACATATGAGCACTAGTGCAAAAACAGTGTATAACGTCACGCGTTCAAAGTTCAACTACTGAATAACCAACGTTAAAAATGATTGGTGACATTTTTGTAAATAAATACAATTGTAGAACGTCGAAACCCCATTCAATTCGACGTTCTATGATGATAATTATTTAAATCAGCATGTCATTCTATTTCTTCTTTCTTTTAAACCACTACTAGTACGTTGAATCCTATAGGGGTTCGACGTAATATTTGTCACTCAGAAGCCAAAGAGTCACCTTTTTAACTTTTTTTCTTTTTTCTTTTAAACAACAAATAATACGTCGAAGAATTCTATAAGGGCTTCGACGTATTATTTGTCATCTAGAAGCCAAAAAGTAACCCTTTTTATTTCTTTTTTCTTTTTTCTTGTAAACCATATATAATACGTCGAATTTTGTAGGAGCTTCGACATATTATTTGTCAGTCAAAAGTTTCTCCTTTTTAATTTGAGCGGGAGATTGAAAATTCATTCACTTTATCTTAGCGTGCGAGACCCTCTTCTCTTCTCAAACTTTTCTCGAACGAAGTTTGACGACCATCATATGTAATCTTTCTTTTATTTGATACAAATGCGTGTTAATTAACTACTTTATGTATAATTTTCGTTTGTTTTGACCGATTATTTTTGTGTTCTTGTCCTTCATAGACGCATTCGGCTTTCTCTCTTACTGGTGGAAACATCCGACGAACCCACCTTTTGAAGGTTAGTTTACGTTTTTGATTTCGTTTCAAAGAACTTATTTGTTGAACTTATTTGTTATTTTTATTTGGTTGAACTTGTTTGTTGTTGTTTGATTGAACTTGTTTGTTATTTGTTATTATTGTTCGTTGTTGATACTATACTACACTTTCATAGTTCATGCTTTATAAAATACCAAAAATTGAAATTTGTTGTTTTCTGTTTTTCAGGTCTGGTAGAGTTGTAAAAAAGGATTACAATTAATTAAAAAAACAAAAAAAAATTGTTTAATGTTGAATATTAACAAAATTCGATGTCAATTTGATTAATGTCGAATTTTTTAAATTCAACGTCAATTTAACGTCTCCCGATATGACATCGACCTCGAATTCGACGTGAAAGGCAAAAAAAAAATCACTACAGGGAAAGTGTTAATTTCCGAAAGAATAAAACCGACGGCCTCTGGGGCCTTCGGTAAAGTTGATTTACCGAAGGATGTACCGACGGTCATGTAAGTGGTTGATTACTGAAGGCTTTTTGAGTTTACCGAAGGACTAAGACCGTCGGTATAAGCATCGACTTAATGAAATGAAAATTTGAGATTTCCCTCACCCATTCTCCCAATTTTTGTTTCCGCACAAGCTTTCCCCCAAATTTTCCTCTCTCAATTCAAAACCCCCCAAGCATCGCATCTTCCTCTCTCGTTCTGGTTAACCCCTTTTTTTGCTGCAATATGTGTGTCAACGTTGGATAGTGTCGATAAGGAGGGTGGTGGTTGACGAATTACATTGTTCCGAGGGGGCTGTTCGAAGGTGTTTGTTGACGAGGTTGCTGTCGCGGCGTGACAACGATGTTGTGGCGACCGCATGACGGTGTGCTCTGAACTTGAAGGAACTTGGTTGAGGAACTTTGTTGGAGGGGATGTTGTGGGCTTCTATTGCTGTCGTGCTCTACAAAGGTTGCCATCATCAAGGGCTATCTTGGTTGAGGTAAGTTGTGCGTTTAAAAATTCGTTATGAGTTTCATTGTTCTTGAATCTGTTTCATGTTCTTGTTGTAGTAGTGTATGATGTTGTTTGATTAAGAAAGTTTTTTGTTTTGTAATTGAAATGAGGGGCAAGGCATTAACATGCCAGTGAGAAGGTTAAAATAACCTTAGTCGTAGTTTAGGGAAAATAAAAGCAACCGAGCAGGTGAAGATTATAAAATATATATGAAATCAAAAACTAACGTACTGGTTTGGCCTACTACTTCTTACGTTCAACTGGGATACACTTCACCAGCACACCAATTGGCCAAGACAAAGCTCCAATGCTAACACAAACATCCCATTGCTCCCAAGTCAATCTCTCAGTATTGGCAAACTTTTTCAGAAACTCAACCATCACTAGCTGAAGAACAACAGTTAGGCTCACAATTACAATGAACAACGTATTCTTACCAAGTCCCTTAAATATGTTCTTCTTCTCCAGCTCCCTTGCATTGAACTCATTGAACACTTGGTAGAGTACAAAAGAATTGAAGATAATCGTGTTCTTCACCTTCTCAGTAACATCAAAGATTGATCTTCCCCTGAATTCTAAAACTAGCAACATCATAACCTGGTACAATGCCTGTGAAATCAGGTTCCTCCACATAACTCTAGTTATCAGTGGCTCAACTCTACCTACAGGTGGCATCTTCATGAGATCATCAGTAGGTTCCTTGGTGGCTAAAGCCAAAGCTCCAAGGGTATCCATTATCAGGTTTACCAACAAAAGTTGGACTGCTGTAAGAGGCACTTTACATGAAGAAACTGCAGCTACAAAGTTTATGACCAGTGCAGCAACATTAACTATCAGCTGAAACTGAATGAACTTCTGAATGTTTTTGTACACACATCTTCCCCATTTGATTACTGTAACCACATAAGAGAAATTATCGTCAAAGATAACAATATATGAGCTCTCCTTTGCCACTTCAGTGCCTTTTATTCCCATGGAAAGTCCAATATCTGCTTCTTTTATAGCAGGTGCGTCATTTGTGCCATCAGCTCCATCTTTCTCAAATTACTCTTTCATCTCTAACACACTTCTCTAGTTTCTTTGTTTTTTAAAATTTACATCTAAGTTCAAATTTATGTTTTTATTAGCATGTTTTTATATCTTTTAAATTCAAATGTGAATGTGTTTAATGTCTTAAAAAGGTATTCATGGATATGTTGGTAGGCTGTTTATAACTCATTTTAGAGTTTAAAGACAATTAAAATCATCAAAGAAAGTTGCTTGAACATTAAGTTGTGTGTTTAAATCACTTTGATATGCTTTTTAGTATCAAACCACCAAACTAGGGACTTTCTATAGTGCATAATTTGTTTTCCAGCTAAGGTTTGATTCTTTTCTCTAGTTGTAATGCATTTGTAGCCATTTATGAATCATATAAAGCAATGAGACAATGTCTAGCCTTGATTATATGTGCTACATCAGTTAAAACATGATTTTGTTTAAAAAATTCTGCACAAAAAGGAATAAATTTGGTGCAATCTCATAAATTGTTTCAATGGAAGTTTTATGTTTCTTAAGCAATGTGCAAGTTTGTTTAATGATATTAAACATGTTCCAAGTAGTAGCAACCTGTATTAATCACTAAAGTGCAAAAAGCATAGTTGAGTTGCCATTTTAAAGTTGCTTGTTGTTAGGTTTCTGATCAAGAAACCTAAAGAAACCCACTCTATCAAACTCAGAATATCACACCAAAAAGACTGTATAACTCTTCTATGTATTATCAATAGCAAGAATATAATGTATAGTGAGCAACTGAGAGCTTAACCTCCCCCATAGGAATAATGGTTTCCTGTTAGAAATCTACAAACAACCAACTAACTCCACAAAACTATTCAATAGCTATTTATACAATTGAGTTCCCGCCCTTCCTAACTGCTAAGGCAGTTAGGGATTCATAGTCTTATTGCTTCTCTAGTATACCCTTCATCTTGTAACACTTGCACTGTTCAAATAGTCATTTTTATGCCTATATGCAGAATCATCTCTTAAACTAATCACTCCAGCAACTTGATTTAGTGTTTTTAAACTTGTTCAAACTTTGAATTGGCTCAAATCCAAACTGTTACTCAAAAACACCTTGTCACTTCACAATTTTGACTCAAAATTGATGGTTTAGTATACTATTATGCACTTAGACCATTATATCACTAATTGAACTCTGCTAGCAACTTTTAAACATCATTTTAGACTTGCTCAAACTGTCACACAACATAGAAATGCTAGACTTTGAAATCTGACTTTGTTATGGCCAAAAATGCAGAAAAATCACTGCATCACACCACCAAAACTGAGTTTATAAGATTCAATGGACTAGGCAATGTTAAAAGTGACTCTAAAATGTGTAACTACACAAGACCAAGCTGGAAAACAGTAACAAGGTGGAGTTAAACTGAGGAGCAGGATGATGAAGATCATTGTGATGATAACTATGTACATTATTAGTTTTATTTTGTTATTAGTTGTTATAGAAACATTTGGATATTATAACATTTGGAGTTTAGATCATTTGGATGTTAGATCAATTGGATGATTTGGATATTAGAACATCATTATGTTACATTGTTTTATGTTTTATTTATAAATAAATGTTCTATGGATGATTGGATGGTTCAGATGTTATATTATTTTTCTGATCAATGATTATATCATTGAGATGCACATTATGCAGGTCTATATGTTGTTGGAAAATGTTATGCAGGTCTGTTTGTGTTGTGAACAATTCATACAGGTTTGTTTGGTTTCATAAGAAATACAATTGTGCTTAAGATCTACCTCGAACTTACCGAAGGCTTATGCCCTTCGGTAATTACCCACGTTAGGTAATTACCGAAGGCTTTCGCCCTTCGGTAATTACCGAAGGCATGTGCCCTTCAGTAACCGAAGGGCGGAAGCCCTCGGTAAATCTTAACGACAAGGGATTTACTGAGGGCTCTTTGGTCGTCGATAAGTCGTCTGTAATTACCTTGTACCGACGATTTCCAACTGTTTCCGAGGGCTTCTGGCCTTCGGTAATGCCCTTCTTTTTTGTAGTGAATGACATTATACAATATTTTTGTACTAGTGGAGAGTTCAGAAATGAGGTATTCAGATATACTATCAGTCATTTATCTTATATAAAGATGAATGTGGTAGAGGAGAGAATGGTAGGAGGTCTTAGCTTTGAACTTTTGGTTTTAGACGTGAAAAGATTAATCTTGTGAGTAGTAGGGTGATAACCCTTGTGTTTATGACTCTATAGAGCATAAATACTATTGAGTGCACACCTACCATAAAAAGTCTTATGTCAAAGTATATATCCGAATAATTGAGTCTAGAGTCGACTATATAAATATTGATTTGATATATTTGGTATGATTTAATTGAGTCTTATGATGTTTTCTTTTAAACACTAACTTATCATGTTTTTCTTTTATGTATTGTTTTACTTTTGCAATGATCACCTCTTAGTATAAATAGATGATGAGTTAGGTGTTGACATATCTTTGGTAGAATGATTTAAATGCTTAATCATATCATTATATCTAGTTATTGTGTATAGAAGTTTCGTCCTTTTGAATAACTTTAGTAGTTTGTGTTGCTATAGTTATTAGAATTGATAATTGTATTAATATTTTGTATGTTTTTTATTTATTTACNCAAGTCAATCTCTCAGTATTGGCAAACTTTTTCAGAAACTCAACCATCACTAGCTGAAGAACAACAGTTAGGCTCACAATTACAATGAACAACGTATTCTTACCAAGTCCCTTAAATATGTTCTTCTTCTCCAGCTCCCTTGCATTGAACTCATTGAACACTTGGTAGAGTACAAAAGAATTGAAGATAATCGTGTTCTTCACCTTCTCAGTAACATCAAAGATTGATCTTCCCCTGAATTCTAAAACTAGCAACATCATAACCTGGTACAATGCCTGTGAAATCAGGTTCCTCCACATAACTCTAGTTATCAGTGGATCAACTCTACCTACAGGTGGCATCTTCATGAGATCATCAGTAGGTTCCTTGGTGGCTAAAGCCAAAGCTCCAAGGGTATCCATTATCAGGTTTACCAACAAAAGTTGGACTGCTGTAAGAGGCACTTTACATGAAGAAACTACAGCTACAAAGTTTATGACCAGTGCAGCAACATTAACTATCAGCTGAAACTGAATGAACTTCTGAATGTTTTTGTACACACATCTTCCCCATTTGATTACTGTAACCACATAAGAGAAATTATCGTCAAAGATAACAATATATGAGCTCTCCTTTGCCACTTCAGTGCCTTTTATTCCCATGGAAAGTCCAATATCTGCTTCTTTTATAGCAGGTGCGTCATTTGTGCCATCAGCTCCATCTTTCTCAAATTACTCTTTCATCTCTAACACACTTCTCTAGTTTCTTTGTTTTTTAAAATTTACATCTAAGTTCAAATTTATGTTTTTATTAGCATGTTTTTATATCTTTTAAATTCAAATGTGAATGTGTTTAATGTCTTAAAAAGGTATTCATGGATATGTTGGTAGGCTGTTTATAACTCATTTTAGAGTTTAAAGACAATTAAAATCATCAAAGAAAGTTGCTTGAACATTAAGTTGTGTGTTTAAATCACTTTGATATGCTTTTTAGTATCAAACCACCAAACTAGGGACTTTCTATAGTGCATAATTTGTTTTCCAGCTAAGGTTTGATTCTTTTCTCTAGTTGTAATGCATTTGTAGCCATTTATGAATCATATAAAGCAATGAGACAATGTCTAGCCTTGATTATATGTGCTACATCAGTTAAAACATGATTTTGTTTAAAAAATTCTGCACAAAAAGGAATAAATTTGGTGCAATCTCATAAATTGTTTCAATGGAAGTTTTATGTTTCTTAAGCAATGTGCAAGTTTGTTTAATGATATTAAACATGTTCCAAGTAGTAGCAACCTGTATTAATCACTAAAGTGCAAAAAGCATAGTTGAGTTGCCATTTTAAAGTTGCTTGTTGTTAGGTTTCTGATCAAGAAACCTAAAGAAACCCACTCTATCAAACTCAGAATATCACACCAAAAAGACTGTATAACTCTTCTATGTATTATCAATAGCAAGAATATAATGTATAGTGAGCAACTGAGAGCTTAACCTCCCCCATAGGAATAATGGTTTCCTGTTAGAAATCTACAAACAACCAACTAACTCCACAAAACTATTCAATAGCTATTTATACAATTGAGTTCCCGCCCTTCCTAACTGCTAAGGCAGTTAGGGATTCATAGTCTTATTGCTTCTCTAGTATACCCTTCATCTTGTAACACTTGCACTGTTCAAATAGTCATTTTTATGCCTATATGCAGAATCATCTCTTAAACTAATCACTCCAGCAACTTGATTTAGTGTTTTTAAACTTGTTCAAACTTTGAATTGGCTCAAATCCAAACTGTTACTCAAAAACACCTTGTCACTTCACAATTTTGACTCAAAATTGATGGTTTAGTATACTATTATGCACTTAGACCATTATATCACTAATTGAACTCTGCTAGCAACTTTTAAACATCATTTTAGACTTGCTCAAACTGTCACACAACATAGAAATGCTAGACTTTGAAATCTGACTTTGTTATGGCCAAAAATGCAGAAAAATCACTGCATCACACCACCAAAACTGAGTTTATAAGATTCAATGGACTAGGCAATGTTAAAAGTGACTCTAAAATGTGTAACTACACAAGACCAAGCTGGAAAACAGTAACAAGGTGGAGTTAAACTGAGGAGCAGGATGATGAAGATCATTGTGATGATAACTATGTACATTATTAGTTTTATTTTGTTATTAGTTGTTATAGAAACATTTGGATATTATAACATTTGGAGTTTAGATCATTTGGATGTTAGATCAATTGGATGATTTGGATATTAGAACATTATTATGTTACATTGTTTTATGTTTTATTTATAAATAAATGTTCTATGGATGATTGGATGGTTCAGATGTTATATTATTTTTCTGATCAATGATTATATCATTGAGATGCACATTATGCAGGTCTATATGTTGTTGGAAAATGTTATGCAGGTCTGTTTGTGTTGTGAACAATTCATACAGGTTTGTTTGGTTTCATAAGAAATACAATTGTGCTTAAGATCTACCTCGAACTTACCGAAGGCTTATGCCCTTCGGTAATTACCCACGTTAGGTAATTACCGAAGGCTTTCGCCCTTCGGTAATTACCGAAGGCATGTGCCCTTCAGTAATTACCGAAGGCATGTGCCCTTCGGTAACCGAAGGGCGGAAGCCCTCGGTAAATCTTAACGACAAGGGATTTACTGAGGGCTCTTTGGTCGTCGATAAGTCGTCTGTAATTACCTTGTACCGACGATTTCCAACTGTTTCCGAGGGCTTCTGGCCTTCGGTAATGCCCTTCTTTTTTGTAGTGAATGACATTATACAATATTTTTGTACTAGTGGAGAGTTCAGAAATGAGGTATTCAGATATACTATCAGTCATTTATCTTATATAAAGATGAATGTGGTAGAGGAGAGAATGGTAGGAGGTCTTAGCTTTGAACTTTTAGTTTTAGACGTGAAAAGATTAATCTTGTGAGTAGTAGGGTGATAACCCTTGTGTTTATGACTCTATAGAGCATAAATACTATTGAGTGCACACCTACCATAAAAAGTCTTATGTCAAAGTATATATCCGAATAATTGAGTCTAGAGTCGACTATATAAATATTGATTTGATATATTTGGTATGATTTAATTGAGTCTTATGATGTTTTCTTTTAAACACTAACTTATCATGTTTTTCTTTTATGTATTGTTTTACTTTTGCAATGATCACCTCTTAGTATAAATAGATGATGAGTTAGGTGTTGACATATCTTTGGTAGAATGATTTAAATGCTTAATCATATCATTATATCTAGTTATTGTGTATAGAAGTTTCGTCCTTTTGAATAACTTTAGTAGTTTGTGTTGCTATAGTTATTAGAATTGATAATTGTATTAATATTTTGTATGTTTTTTATTTATTTACTGTACATTATCAAAATTTATAATATTTTATTTAATAATAGTTTATTTTGTCCTTAATTTTTCTTGAATTTTCTCAGTTATATTTTTTTAAAAAATATGTTAAATTGATCTTTTCTTATAAAATTTTGTGTGAACATTCGTTAAATATGTACAAAGATCGGTTAACTTATTTTTCTCTTTCCTCTACTGTCATGCATCTTCTGCATCGTAGCAGACTCTGCATATTGTTACTCAGTTTTGAAAGCTATTATTACTATTATTATTCATAAATAATAATATATATTATATGCAAGGAAAAAACATAAGAGGAAGCTAGGTTATATAAGTGGAACCACTAATCCATCAATCTATCAATCACTTTAGCCCTTATTTCTCTCTCTCTTCCGGAAAACTGTTTCTACTCACTCAGGGACACAAAAGATTCCATTGTTGGCTTCCTATTTAAAATTTTGCAGGTTTGATTTCTACTTTTAGAAACACCACTTGTATTCCTTGGTTGTTGCATTTCCACCAAGCGGATCTAAAGTAATATAAAGTGCAACATCATGCCCAACTTGGATGGAAAACTTGATTGGCACCCCTCTTTCCACTCTCAAAACAGGAGCTTCCTTTTTGTTGATGTAGAACCTTTGCAGGATTTGGAGGGTTGGGGTAATGCATTGTCGGAGTCGAAGATACCACTAGCGGATTATTGCCATCTACAATGATGACGCCTTGATCTTCTTTATCTTCAGCATCCAAGGGTCCAATACAGTCATTCACATGCTCCGAAACATTCAAAACCAAATGACCATAATTTACAGCCCCGTGATTCTGAGGAAGATAGTAAGGATTAACAGTATCACGAGGCTTAATAGACCCCAAAGCCCAAATAACCTTCATATTTGCATTATGATTCATAGGGCGATCATAATTTCCACTAACCTTAGTCAAATGCCATCTGTATCTAATAAAGGACACTCCATCGCTCCTATGCCCATAAACCAACATCGAACTGTTTACTAAACCCACCCCCTCATGCCCTTCATAAACTGAATCAGGACAAACCCCATGAGCAACTTCATCGTCATTTTTCAGAGTTTTCTAGGAATCTTAGGAACAC